TACGATCCGCCACATCGAGGGGTGGACCTGACCTAAGGTCACCTCGTACCGCCGGCAGAACTCCACTATAATGGGTTCTAAGGGGCCTAAGGTGAAGGGATATGTATATACACTAAGATACCCTTCAACGTGAGTCATAATCGACTCGTCACGGGAAGGGGCGACCAGGTCTTTCCCTTCCCATCTACATTCAGCCCTCACCCGGTCTAGGCAACCGGGAGTGATTAGGCTGATATACTCCGATGCCGGTTCGCCGCGGCCCGGGACCGATGATGGGTTCTCAACCTGGAAGTCGGCAGATACCGAGCAACCAGTCGGTGTAAAAGCTTTCAATGGGGGTTCTGGCGCAGGTTCATCAGATCTAGCGGGGCTCGCGGACGAGCTTGGTCTAGAAGGAACACTTTGTGAAGTTTTCGCCATTTCTTGAAGCTTTACGAAGAGATGAAAAGAAAATACAACCAACGCAAAATTTGAGAAAGATAAGAAATGTTGAACCTGGAAGGGTCGTTTATACTTTTCCCATGAGGCGGCGGCACGAATCGCGAAGTTACAGACACGAAGCGACAGATAATTAAGAGAAGCATTAAATGCCTGCAGCAGACGTGGTCAGAGCACTCGATGGCTTTTTCAGCTGGCGTATGGCCATACGTCACGGGCATCACGTCACCGATCATATCGTTTATTATCATTACTCTCTAATAAACGAGGGGACTATCTGTATTGGGTGATACCCTTTTTGCTTGAGCCCGACCGGGTTGGGTCCGGTCCGGGGCAAGTCGGGGCCATCGAACCCGACCTGGATGCAAGGTAGAACGACGGCCACGTCAACAACCGAGGTCGAGTCATTTCGAGACCGTTGCAGAGCTCGATATGAGTCACCACTGGATGGAGAAACACACAAGGTCGGAAGCCGGACTCGTAACGGATAACCAAGCGTCGCCGGATATCTCGCCCAAACGTGATTTTCTCAACCACTTCAGGCCATTAAGGCGTAATTACAGGGATCCACGATGTAATTAATTTACCTACCTTATTTTTACCCTTAATCAGAATGTATAAAAGGGGAGAAGACCCCATAAAAAGGGGATCGGAAACCATTACACTACAGTACCATCTCTCTCAATTCTTGTACGCTATCAAGCACAATTGTTCTAAGCAATATTATATTCTGCGATTATTTACTTTAGCAGCAATTGCTGAGTCTTTATCTTTTATTTTCCTCAATCCAAACCTTTTGTATCTTTTAGTTCACGGATCCTTAAAACCCCATATAAATTCAATTGTTATCCGGATTCCAGGGTAAACAAATATCATTCTTGCTCATGAGCAGGTCAAGTCCTATACAAGGAAGAATGTATCACCCAGATGCATGATAAAGATTGACTTGCAAAAAGCGTATGATTCTGTTGAATGGCCATTTCTGAGACAGATGCTTACAGAGCTTGGATTCCCAGAACAGTTTATTATTTGGGTAATGGAGTATGTCCAAACAGTAAACTACACTGTGATGATCAATGGTGAGCCAAGTGAACCTTTCAATGCAGATAGAGGACTTCGACAAGGAGATCTAATGTCTCCCTTTTTGTTTGCAATTGCCATGGAGTACCTAAGTAGAAAGCTCAATGAATTAAAGGCAGATAGATCCTTTCAGTTTCACCCAAAGTGTGCAAAGCTAGGTATTACACACCTTAGTTTTGCGGATGATCTGTTGCTCTTTGCTAAAGGGAACTTATCTTCTATTACTGCTCTACACAAGTGTTTCAGCCAGTTCTCTGAAGCTTCAGGATTACAGGCTAATCTGGGGAAAAGTTGTGTGTATTTTGGAGGAGTTAAGGGGGAGATTCAAGACAGCATATTGAGCCATTTAGGTTTTGTTCATGGAACCTTACCTTTCAAATATATGGGAGTGCCTTTATCAACAAAGAAGATCACATTACTACAATGGCAACCACTAATAGAGAAGTTCACAGCTAGAGTTACTTCTTGGACTGCCAAAAAGTTGTCTTATGTAGGTAGAACTCAGCTAGTCAAATCTGTGCTCTTTGGAATTTCAGGCCTACTGGGCTCAACTATTTCTTATACCTGCAAAGGTACTGAAAACTATAGATGCTTATTGTAGGAGTTATGTATGGTCAGGGAGCAACACAATCACTAGGAAAGCTTTGGTGGCATGGGATAGAGTGTGCACTCCTAAGTCAATGTGAGGGCTAAATCTTATCAACATGAAACTATGGAACCAAGCTGCTCAAATCAAGACATGCTGGGATATTGCTCACAAACAGGATAAGATGTGGATTCGATGGATTCATGCGTACTATGTCCAAGGCAAGCTTTTGAGGGATATGCCAATCCCAGCACAAGCAAGCTGGATCACTAGGAAAATACTGGAAGCTAAGGAACATCTGCATCTGATACCTATTGTCAAAACTACTCGGAGTATGATCAACTCAATCTATCAACAACTCCTACCTACAATGATGCCAGTGCCTTGAAAGTGTCTTATGTTTAAGAATGATGCCAGACCTAAAGCAGTGTTTACAATGTGGCTACAACTACAAGGGAGGCTAGCTACAACAGATCGATTGGTGAAATGGGGATTAGCAGTGGACACTACATGCATACTATGCCAGAATCAACTAGAAACAAAGGACCACCTTTTTGCTGAATGTGAATTTACTAAAGCTATATGGAGGAAAATGCAGCAATGGCTACAATGGCTACCAGCAATGACTTGGAACCAGCACACAAAATGGGCTATTCAAAAAGCCAAAGGGGAATCACAGCAAGCCCAAATATTCAGAATGGTGTATGCTGAGTGTATATATGCTATATGGATGGAAAGGAATCATAGAATTTTTGAAAAGAAGTATCGGAACTGGGAAGCAATTGCGCGTGAAGTCACTTACATCTGTCATGTAAGAGCAGCCCCAAGAGTCAAGATTTTGCTACAGAGTTTTGTGTTTTAGTTTCCAATTTAACTTTCAGTTGAGAAATTACTTGTATAGAGTAGAGAGTTACTGATTTGGTAGATTTTAGATAGCTAATTATGTTTGGTTAGCTATGATTTTGTACAGTTTTCAAAGGTGATTAATACAAAAAATTTAGCTACCAAAAAAAAAAAAAGCTCCATTCTTAAACCAAAAAAAAAAAAAAAAAAAATGAAAAAACACGGCATGATTTTTTTGAAGAATTACATAATAGAATGTTAAAGTGATGTATGATAGTGTTTAGGTGGCTTTCCTAGTTTAAAACATGTGAAAATAAAGAAACAGAAAGGCCAAAAAAGCTATGGAAAAGTGTATATAACAAAAAAAAATGTAAGATCTGGTTTCGATCTCACAAACATTTACACAATTTGAAATCCGCTTGATCCATTCGACCAAGGAACTCTCTTTGTGAGGTGGGTTCAACGGCCTTTACTTTGTAGGAGTTATTCTCTTAGAAAGATAATTTGCACATAGAAATAGTTAAAAAAATTTATGAAGCGGGTTCAATTGAACCCCCTCGAACAAACGTGGGTCCGTCCCTGTATTTAATATTAATTATTAAGTTACTATCAGAATACTTTCTATTTGGACATGATTTTACTATTGCTACTTCTTATCCATTTAACTAATGTCTTTGTTGTATTTCCTTGATGATAATTTCATTACTTTAATACTTTATTTGGATGATTGCGGAGAAAATCCGGAACTTTTAGTTTAATGTGAATACTTCATTTGGATGTTCATTATCATAGAAAAAACAAACATCTCAACTTATACGAAATCCAAAATATCAAAACCGATTAAACTAAATCCAATTAAAAAATTCGATCCAATCCGAGTTTATTCGGATTGGATTTGGATCGTCATTTCTTCAATCCAAAAATCGAAAATCCAAACCGGAATTTTTATATTCAATCTGAATTGTTCGAACCCCAACCCCTAATCTTAGCTTGTGTATTGCAATTATAATCCATATACGCTTGATGGTCATTATCAAATTTGAAATGTCATGTGTTTCTTTGATTTACTTTTTTTTCGGAATGTGCATTTTTAGTAGGTAATTTACCGGATGCATCCGTTATTTATTCTTCTCTTCTACTCGAAATATAGGGGCGAATTTATTCTCCAAATTATGGGGCACATAACCCATGATCTCTTTGGTAAGCTAAATTTTTTTTAACTTTTTTTAGAATTAGTCTAATATTATATGTTGGTCCATGTACTCCTAAGAGGTTGAGGATGCACGTAGGTAAATACTTAATTCTCAATTTACCCAATGTTTTCTTTCCAAAGTTTGATAATATAATATGGTTAACTTAATCATATTCGTTATAAAATTTGATAAATATTTAGGGGCTCTGTGATTATTTTGGGGAAAAAAAATATATCTTACGTGCCAATTCTTGCTGATTTGGCATCACAATTCACAAGTGGCAAGAAAAGTATTATGCTGGAAATTTTGGAGATGTTCTTTCTTACATGTGAACTCATTATAGGAGTTGCTTAAAATAGACGAAAAGCTTTTAGCTTAAAATGCAATGACAGTATGACACAGAGTTGAACATATATAAGACCATTGAAGTGGCCTTAATCTTTCATAACCTTATGATTATAATTAGACAAGCTCAAAATAATAGTGTATTGGGGAAATTTGTATTTATATATATATGGTGACGTGTCATGACACGTAGACTGGTCAAACAATCAAAGAATTAAGGTTGGTTAACAGATACGAGCAACAACAGATACGAACAAGTTAAAAGGAGAAGGCACGAGCAGTCCATACAAGTAATTCAACGCTCGCACCTATTCAAGACATTTAAAGGTCAAAGATCGTGAAGAGTCAAAGGAATGAATCTGACAGCAAAAAAGAGCTCAGATACAACATTTAATGAGTATTAAATACTGGAAACGTTAGACAATATGTATTTAACATATATGATTGCATAACGTAACATTTAAAGTCATTAATTGCCCATAATTGTCTTATTATGACAAAGGTAAAGTCTGTATTCCCAAAATGGCTATAAAAGGGAAAGTCACAAACAACTGTAAGCACGAAAAAAATACTATTGGAATATACTTTGATTTACTTGCTTTCTGATCATATTATTTACAAATTTCTTTCTTTATATACTCTTTTCTGATTATCAGTAACCCGTGTTATTCTAAATTCAAGCTTTGACCTAAAATCTAATTTTTGGTTAAACAAATTGGTTCCGTTACCGGGAATCTGATAATCAATTATATCTCAGCTTGATTTTCTTAGTGGAATCAACTATGTCGAACAACAATGACAATATCCAAAGAAACCCAATCAATCAGCAAAATCAGGGAGATCCGCAAAATGATCAAACTCTACGAGACTCACCACGACAATCTCGTGAAGGCACTCCTGAAGGATCTCACACAGAAGAACGAGATCAATTTGAAAATGCTGAAGCTATGGATGATGACTTACAAAAACTTATCGCTACTCAGGTCAACAAAGCTTTACAAGCTTTTGTTAGTCAATTACCTGCTGCTCCACCCACACCTACTCCAAATAACAATACTTTGGAGAACCCTCGTTCTGGACTGGGTAATTCAGGCAGCGGTGGAAACCCTAGTGAAACACAGGAGGGAGACCCAGGTAATCCAATTAATTCTGATTTGCAAAATCTAGTGCTAACATTGCAGAAACAGCTTAGGGAGCAAAACGACCGCATAGAACAAATACCCGGAGTACCACCCGTGATCAAGGGAGTAGATATAGATAAATATTCTCAACATCCATGGAAGCCAAGTGCTGCCCCTCTCCCAATTCCAAAGAAGTTCAAGATGCCCGATATTCCAAAGTATGATGGGACAACAGACCCACGAGATCATGTTACTGCATTTACAACAGGAGTCAAGGGTAATGATTTGACTAAGCAGGAGATTTAATCAGTCTTGGTCAAAAAATTCGGTGAAACACTCACTAAAGGGGCACTAACATGGTATTCTCTCTTACCTGAAAATTCTATAAATTCTTTTGCTGAGCTTGCAGATTTATTTATCAAAGCACACTCGGGAACTCAAAAAGTTGAAAAAAGAATGGAGGATATCTTCAAAATCAAGCAAGGAGATTCAGAGCTGCTCAGAGAATTCGTGGATAGATTTCAACAGGAAAGAATGACATTGCCACGAGTACCTGACAATTGGGCAGCCATAGCCTTCACCAGCAATTTGAATGAGAAGAATTCAGAAGCCACGAGGCGACTCAAGGAAAGCCTTCGAGAATTCCCAGCAACAACGTGGAATGATGTCTACAACAGATACAGTACAAAGATGAGGATTGAAGAAGACATTATTTTACGACATAAAACAGAAGAAAAAGTAAGCTCAAGGCGTGTTGAAAATGAAAAGAGATCCGGTAAAAACAGGTACGAGCCTTATATGGGACCTGCGGGAAAGGACTCACGGTCAAGGCAAGATAATCAAAGGTACGATCACAAACCTAGAAACAGGGAATCAGGCTCCTCATCAAGGTTCGGGAATGATCGGAACACACGCGGGTCACGAGATGATGATGGAAGTCTAAAGGCAAGGTTCGGTGGTTACAACTTCAACGTAAGCACCTCTGAACTCGTAGCTGTTTTAAGAAGCATGGGAGATAAGGTACGGTGGCCAAAGGAAATGCGATCGAATCCAAACAGACGAAACCCTGATCATTGGTGCGAATTTCATAACGATCACGGGCATAAAACAGCATATTGCAGGTTTCTGCAAGGTGAAGTTGATCATTAGCTAAAACAGGGGTATCTCACTGAGTTATTCAGTGAGAAAGGTAAACAAGCATACATGAAGAACAGGCAAGAGCCTCCAAAACCACCTTCACCCAAGAGAACTGTCAACGTTATAAGTGGGGGTGAAGAGATCAACGATGTATCATATAAAAAGGTTTCAAAAGTAACAATTACCCACGGGAAGCGGCCTCGACATGTACTGGAAGAGGAGAATATTATATTCAACGATGCAGACACCGAGGGACTCTTAACTCCGCATAACGACGCACTGGTAATATCTTTACTTGTACATGACACTAACGTGAAACGAGTTTTGGTTGATCCATGTAGTTCTATAAATATTATTTTAATACGAGTATTGCGCGAGATGCAAGCGGAGAATAAATTAATTCCAAAAGCACATACTTTGTCGGGATTTGACAACTCTAGTGTTGTAACGAAAGGGGAAGCAACACTTACTACATTCGCAGAAGGCGTCGTTAAAGATACCAAATTTCAAGTCGTAGATATGGAAATGGCTTACAACATGATTCTTGGGAGGCCATGGATTCATGAGATGGATGTTGTTCCTTCAACCTTACATCAAGTTATTAAATTTCTATCTCCATGGGGAATACGTCAAATCAGAGGCGATCAACAAACATCTAGAAGCATCAATTCCGTTGCAGATTCAACTGTTAAGGGTGAAGACAAATAGCAATTACAGAATTTAGGTGAGGGTAACACGGTGTCAACCTCACCTGAACAAAGGCAAACGGATGTGGATTCGAGACCTGATACCATTCAAGAACCGGAGGAGAACGAGAACATCAAAACAACGATAGAAGAGCTAGAGGCCATGGTGTTATTTATACATTGGCCCGAGAGAAAAGTGTATATAGGAGCTAATCTTAGCCCGGAGGTAAAACGTAAATTGATTGAATTTTTAAAAGCTAATGCAGATTGTTTTGCTTGGTCCCATTCTGACATGACAGGGATACCACCAGAAGTCATGACCCATAAATTGAATGAAGATCCATCATATCCTCCAGTCAAGCAAAAGAAAAGAAAGCAAGGAACTTTCAAGAATAAGGTGATTCAAGAAGAAGTTCAAAAATTGCTAAAAATTGGTTCAATTCGTGAGGCAAAATATCCTAACTGGTTAGCTAATATTGTTGTGGTTCCTAAGAAGAACGGTAAGTGGCGAGTCTGTGTAGATTACACAGACCTTAA